TGGTCAACCTACAAACTAAGTTTTCTTTTCCTTGTTCTTCAAGGCCTTCAGTTGGATCATATATATTTCCTATTCAAGTTCTCCACAGAGAAACGCAACCTTTACATCAAGCTGCTCTAGATTTAGATCAAATACAACACACATCGTCAAGACCACTCTGATTGTGGTGAGTCTTACCACTGGAGAAAATATCTCATTGAAATCAATACCTTCTTTCTGAGCATATCATCAGTATTTCATAATATCATTCCACCTAATCATTTTCATCTCGCTCAATTTTGAACACCCATTTGTTACTGATGGCTTTCTGACCTTTATGAAGTTCAACAAGTTCCCACGTGTTATTTCTATGTAAGGCTTCAATTTTCGTTTGCATTGTTGTCATCCACAGAGAAGCATCTGAACCATTTAATGCCTCATGAAAGGTTGATAGTTCTCCATCTTCTGATAGAAGACAATATGCATCATGACTTGCCATCACATATTTTGAGTGTCATGATGGTTTTCTTATATGACGTGCGGTTCTTCTAGGATCTACATTATTGACCTCAGTAGGTTCTTGTTCTTCGTGCTCTGGCTCTGCTTCAGAAGAATCATTTTCTCCTGACTTTTCCTCTATCTCCACTGTAGTAGTCTCCTTTATAGTGTTTTCATATTTTTGCTCCTTTTGTAGTTCATTTTCTACAAAGATTACATCTCTGCTAACAATAATCTTGTGGGCAGCAGGATCCCACAGACGATACCCTTCACATTGTCAGCGTAACCCAAGAATATACATTTCCTGGATTTTGTGTCCAACTTTGTTCTTTCTTGGGAGTTGTACATCTTGTACACAGGACATCCAAATACATGAAAAGAAGAATAATCACCTGGTTTTCCCTTCCACATCTCCATTAGTGTATTTAAATCAACCGCAACTGATGGTGATCGATTTATCATGTAACGAGCAGTTTTGACAACTTCTGCCCAGAAAGACTTTGCCAATCCTGTTGTTTTCAGCATAGCTTTCATCCTCTCCAGAAGAGTTATATTCATCCGCTCTGCTGCACCATTCTGCTGAGGTGTATGAGCAACAGTAAACTGCTGCTTAATACCTTATTGCTTGCAGAATGCCCGGAAATCACCATATGTATATTCTCCTCCATTATCTGTCCTCAAGCACTTAATTCTTTTCCTAATTTCAAGTTCAAGTTGTGCTTTGAACTCCTTGAATACTAAATACACTTCTGACTTCTTCTTGATTGGGTACACCCATAGTCTCCTGGAGTAATCATCAATGAATGATACAAAATATTTTGCTCCTCCAATGGATATTTTCAGCGACTCCCAAACATCAGAATGAATCAAGTTTAGTATGTGTTTGCTTCTAGCAGTCGACTTAGCAAACTTTAGTTTATGTTTCTTGCTTATCACACATTTCCCGTAGAAAGGTAAATTTACCGACTTGAGCCCGAGTATGAGATTACGTTCTGCAAGAACTTTCGAGCCTCATTCTGACATATGACCTAGTCTACAATGTTATATCATCGTTGTTTCTTCTTGTCTTCCAGCTGCTACTAATGCATCTACTCTTTTCATTGTGTCTCCCAAAAGCATGTATAGATTTGCAGCGACCTTCTCTGCTTTCATGACTACTAGAAAATCTTTCACCACTTTGAAGATCCCACCTTGAACATGAGTCTTGCATCCGAGGTCATCTAGTTTCCCAATAGACAACAAATTCTTCGTCAGTCCTTTCACATGTCATACCCCTTGAAGTATGCAGATAATACCATCATACATTTTCATTTTGACAATACCAACTCCAGTAATTTTCAAAGCATGTCCATTCCCCATCAATACATGTCCTTCTGAGATAGGTTCATAAGTGCAAAACTAGTCTCGTCGTGGAGTCATGTGTCATGTTGCTCCTGAATCTACTATGCAATCATCAGTGAGTTAAATTTTGCCTTTGGTACTAATTGTTGCTCTGTTGTAAAGGATTTCTCCATCATCGAAGGTACTAGCAATACATCCTTGAGATGTACTTGCTTTAGAAGACTTCTCATCATTCTTCTTGTTGAACCAACATTCTTTCTTCAGGTGCTCTCTCTTATCACAATTGTAGCATTCGAGGTTTGTTCTTCTTTGAGATTTTGATCTACCATAATTTTGACTCTCACTGGGACCATATTCTATTGATCTACCTCTCATTATCGTCAGCTTCTATTCGTTTTGAGCTCTCTTGCCGATCTTCCTTATTTTTACGCCTGGATTCTTCTTCAAGAACAGCTCCGGCGACATCATTAAAGGATAGACGGTCAACAATATTATTGTTTGTGATGACGAGTTGATCATACAAATCTGTTAAACTCTGAAGAAGCTATGCTCGTTCATTTTCCACTATTGTGAAATCTGATGTAGATAGTTGAGCAAATAATGTATTCAAATTGTTAATGTGATTCGGCACTGAAGTGGATTCACTCATTCGAATAGTCTAGAGTCTCCTCTTTAAGAAAATTCTGTTGTGAAGTGACTTGACCTCGTACAGTTGGATGAGAGTATCTCAGATCTCCTTTGTAGTTTTCTTCTCTGCTATACTTGACAAAATTGAATCTGTCATTGCTAAGTGAAAATTGGCAACATCGTTGTCATCCATCTCTCTCCATTTTTCATCAGTTATATTTGTAGGTCTATCTTTAATTGTTGGTGAGCAATTATCCTTCCTAAGGATTGCCTACATCTTCAATTTTCACAGGAAGAAATTACTCCCACTGAATTTTTCAATCTCAAATTTTGCAGCCATTTTTTTCTCACTGAATTGGTTTACACAGAATAAATCTAGTATGTGTTAACAATCACTGCAAAAGTATACAACCACACGCGTGAATAGTAACTGTATGTCGCAGCAGAAATAGAGACTGACACCAATAGCTCTGATATCACTGTTGGGTATCAGAGTAGCAAGATAAATATCACAAAAATAAGAGATTAAAGAGTAGGAAAAGTGACACAATATTTACGTGAAAAACCCTCAACAAATGAGGGAAGAACTACAGGCACTGGTAGAAAAGTTTTACACTAAGTGGAAGAAATAACACTTCTCTCTATATACAAGGGGAGAACAAATTACACTCTTTATTGTAATAGGAGAACACTCACTAAAAGAACCTTATAGGAGAAAATATAATATATTATATCTCTCTAAATTTTTCTTTTATATTATGTTGCAATGCTTTGTGTTGTTGTGTTAGGAATGAGAGAGAACCTCTATTTATAGGTGTTCATCTTCACAAAACCATAGGTGCAAAGTCATGGGTGTTTTTTTCTTGGTCCACAAATTATGACTTTATTCAATCACAATCTTTGATCATAATCTTTTATCATGACCTTAATATTTGACTATGACCACAATCTTTAACAAAAAAAAAAAAAACTCATTGTGAAGAAGTTTCATAATCTTGCTTCAGTTTCTGATTTGAAGTATGTGAAAAAAGAAGAAGCTGGAATGAATGTTGTTAAAGTGTTGAAAATGAAGTTTCATAATCTTGCTTCAGTTTCTCATTTTGTGAAGTTTCTGATTTGAAGTATTTGAAGTGGACACTTGAATGTGATGATGAAATTTAAGTGGATTTGTACGCTAGAGTTTTCAACTGATATACTAGAGTTCGTTTAGATACATAAGAAATTTCTATTATTTTTTCCATGAAACTTCAAGGATGATTCTACCTGCCCTTCTTTTAAACAAAATACATTTTAAAGAGGTAACATATGATTAGGTTATTAGTTATGACATGATTGTTTTTCCAAATACATGTGAATGTTGACTGTTTATAAGTGTTTGATTTTTTTTTACACATTATTTATATTTTACAGGGTGTTTTAATCTTCCAAAACAAAACTTCTTCAGTTATAAATACTTAGTTTGCCTATCTATCATGCTACATAGTCATGTTAACGTTTGTTTTCAGAATTTTTAACGGAAATAATTTTTGTGTGTAACAAAATAATTCTTAGAGGATCCGTATGTAACGTTTTTAAAAATTAAGGAATTTTGGGATTAATTATGCCTAAAAATTATGTGACATCAACAATATGAAATATCATTGATATTCAATATCATGAATATTCGCTACATATTCATGATTGAAGGTGTCTCAATCTCTAGGAAAGTCATGTTCCATGAATTGAAGAGAATATCAAGATGAGAAGTTTTGAAAACATGAATTAAGTGTTGTGCTATAAATTGTAATTTATTATTTTGTAGAAAATTATATTCGATTGAGGTGTGTTTGATCTAATCAAAGTAAGAATTAGTTGTATTCAACATAGTTAAATACATCATATAGTTATTGTATTGAAACTAAAATATAATTTTATATATTTTGAATTTGGGTTGTATGTTTTGGTCTTGGACCTTAATGACCTATAAATAGGCACGACGTTGTATAGTTTTACACAATTAATAATTTAACAACTATACAAGTTTTAAAATAGGTTTCCTAATTTTCTCCTTTCTCTTTCTTCATTCTACTTAAAACCCTAATTATCAATTGGAGTTGGCCGATATAACTCAAAGGATGGCAGAAAAAATTCTCTTAGAATATCTTGGAAAAATATGAGGAACTAGTTACAGTTGCAAAATAACAAATGCAGTTGCAGTATTCACTACAGAGCTTAGTTGCTATTGGAAATTTGTATTCTGATGCACTAAAGTCATAAATATTTCACAGTATAAATAACTACAGGCAACAACAACGGCTTGTATAATAATTCTACTCATGAATTGAATATTTCTTCAATTTCAACGTCATGAATGGCAAGAAAACACAAAAATAACAACGGCTTGCTTAATATTTCTACTCATAAATTGAAACACATTGTTGCTACTATAAAAAGGAAAAATATCAAGAAGGAATTTTCCAAAACAAAATAACAACCAAACACAAAAAGAAATACAATGGAACACAAGAAATTGTCCGTAAGTGAGGCAATAAAAGAGTCATACGGTGTTGGTGCTGCTACACAGCTTCTTCTGCCTCGGAAGCTTTCACGTCCACCAATATTTTCTTTTCCAACCGAGGGAAACGCCCTGATGCATTAGGATCTGTTTTTGACTTTCTAACCAGACTAAAGAATTTGACATTCTCGTTCAACATGTATATTCCAATTTCTTCCCTGCATAACAATTTCTTCTTCTCATCCTCATACTCATTATAATTGAAATTCGGATGAATCTCTAACATAAGCTCAACATGGATCCATTTATTTTTCAAAAGTGCTTCGTCCATCTCACACACAAGTGTCCCAAAAATCCGGTTATAGCATTTAATGCTTTCTTCCAATTTTAGATCAAATAGATATGTATGATTCGATCGCATCTTGAGAAGGTAAGGAAGAAACAGGACTTCATCAGAAAGAGTATATTTGTAGTCATTGACAAACAAATTGACTGTTAGTTTAATTATTTCAGACTGAACCAGAATAATACAACTTATAGAAGGGATTTCTTTACAAAACCAGAAAAAAGTTGTTTTTCCACTCTTTTGGTGCTTGAACCAACCCGGAACCCCCTCAGTTCCGGTTGGCAAGCAAATTTCGGTGCATCCAGCCTCATGCAGTTTCTGTTAGTTTAGCATAAGATAAATTACACTATGGATTATGAAATACTATATTAAATACAAGTGCAAGAAGAAATAACAAACCTGACTCAATAACATTCTTCTACACTCGGAAGTCAGTGATTTGCATCGGATTGCAGAAAACTTTTTTAGATTTGGTGGAATCCCTCTAATATCTTCAAGAAACTTGCAGCCATCCAATTCAAGGATTCTAATAAGGTGACATTTATCAAGACATTCGGGAAGAATTTTGAAATTGTTATTCCATAGGTATAGATATTTCACATTAGCAAACCGTGTGAGAACTATTGGAAGACATTTCTCAGAGAGGTTGTTCTTTCCGAGATTAAGATATTCCACTTTTGAAGATACTGTGGAACTCAGTTTATCATTATGATTTGGAAATAGAAGAGGAAAATCCACATCAGTAATCTTCGACAATTTTGGCATCATACCAGTGTTACTTGAAAACCTGAGCATTTGACATCCCCTAATTTTTAACTCACGAAGTTCACTGAGATTTTGAAATGAAAATGGCAATTCTCCTATGGAAGTTTCAAACAACCAAATCTCTTTTATATTTGTCATTCTTCCTAATAACTCTGGAAATCTCTTGAGACTCCTACACTTAGAGAGTTCCAATTCCTTAAGAGAGATCAACTGTAAGGGTGGAAAACTCTCAAGTTTACTGCAACCCTTTGCATTTAAGATTTCAAGTTTATTGAGATACCCAATCGAATTGTGAATCGTAATTAAATTATTACAATTTTCGAATGAGAATTTTTCTAAATTTGGAAGACCTGAGATATCAGATATATGAGTTAAATATTGACAATTGTTAAATGTGAAAACTTTCATATACTCGAACTTCTGCATAAACAAAAAACAAAACAAAAAAAAATAAGATACTACAATCTCATAGTGAATTTATAAATATAGACAATAAATAGATGAACTAATTTCACTTGCCTTGTTCATAAACCTAGATGGTAAAGACTCTAAAGAATAATTATTCCATTTCAATACTCTCAAACTACATGGAAGATATCTTGCACCTTTAGAAAAATGACCATTTTCAATGATAAGTGTTTTGAGCTTTGTCATCTTTTTGAGTGCCTCTCCATTCCAATCTATTATTGTTTCAGTTGAGGGAGAACTCAAGTGAATCATTTCAATTTTCCTAGTTCCCTTTTCACACAAAAATCACAATCAATCACAATAAATACATAACTCTGGCCCACATACATTGAGAAATTTACATGTAATCAAAGAGTAAAAGAACAAGTATAAGGTGGTCATATAAGTCAAAAAGAGAAAATCATGATTAAATGATAAATAAAATATTGGTAATAGATATCAGTTTTACGCACCTTATTTTCTTTTAAAACATGAAATATATCATCATGAAACCACAACCTACTGCGTTTTTCAGGCTTTTTTGGTGATTCTTGTCGGACAATTTCTTTACCCATATCCTCTATCAGGTCATGTAATGTCACATAACCATAAACATTAATCTTTATAAGAGACTTGTCAACCAATACTCCAACATGGCTTTTTATGCCATGACCATAATGTGCATGAAGTGTCTCTTCGACTTGTGTTAATTCACACCCATTGAAGCAACAGGCAATATCCAAAAAAACACTTTGTTGTTCTTCGTCCAAAGCATCATAGCTTACTTTAAGTTTCTTTTGGATATCTTCATGTGGAATCCGTTCATATTTATCTAATGTAGATTCCCATTCTGCTATAGGTTTTCTAAACAAGTTGGAACCTACTACTTCTAAAGCTAATGGAAGGCCAGAAGCATATTTAAGTGCACGGTTTAAAATATAATCATAACTAGAATCAGTTTTGTTACATTTAAAACTCATCCATCTAAACAATTCAAGAGCTTCTTTCTCATTTAAGCCATCTACTTCATATGTTTTTTTAACCCCATGACATGATAGCAAATATTTGTCTCGTGTGGTAATGATGATTCTGCTCCCAAGACCGAGCCACCCAGGGTCCCCAACCAAAAACTGTAACTGCTTTAGTTGGTCAACATCATCGAGAATCAACAAAACTTTCTTTTGATGTAGCCTTTGTTTTATGATTGAAATTCCTTCGCTAACATGTCCTAACTGAATTTTCAATCCGATTGTTTTGGAGAGGAGTTGCTCTTGGAGATATTCTAAGCCATATTTAACTGAATTTTCTCTCACATTGTGAAGGAAACACGAACCTTCAAATTGATCGGCAATCGAATTATAAACTGCCCGAGTAAGTGTTGTTTTACCCAATCCTCCACTTCCATATATTCCAATCAGACAGGCTCCATTATCAGAGTCAACATCCAGAAGCGACTTTACTTGCAGCAGTCGAGATTTGAGGCCAACAGGGTGATCGGCAACATGTAAAAGAACACGATTGATCTTGCTGGAAATCTCTGTAACTATCTTATTGATAAATATGTATTCATATTCTTCTTTCCTGCACCAAATGAAAGGAGTTTGAGTAAATGCATCAGAACACAGTCACATTCATGTATTGATGGTGTTGATGACATTACAATTCAAATTGTTTCAACATACAATGCAGTAACCTTTTACACATGAATGAGAAATATAAAACTTATTCATCCTTTTTAACATTTTAGGATGAAATGATTTGTCAATAGTAAACTAAAGAGCAACAATAAATACGTGTATAAAAGTTGGGAACCTGAAATTGTAATGGTAGCCAGACAAGTCAGCTGCGTAGGTAAGAGCAATCTTCCATTTCTGCAACCGCTCCATGTTTTCCTTGTTATTTTGGAACCTTTCTTCATACTCAGCAAGTGCTTCACCATACTTGTCATTCTGATGTCTCACATGAGAAGGTTCCGTGCCATAGAAAACTGGCAGAACAAGACGACTCTTTTCCTTAAAGTAGTGAATGATGTGGACAAGTTCATCCAAACAAAATGAAGAAGCAGCATAGTTCGAAGAAAACACAATTATGGCAACCCTTGAGTTTTCAATGTTCTTGAGGAGCGAAGGTGTGATTTTTTCACCTCTCTGAAGCTCCTTATCATCAATAAAAGTTCGAATTCCATTGTCAGAAAGAGATTTATAGAGATTACCGGTGAAACCGAAGCGAGTATCGGTGCCCTTGAAACTGATGAACACGTCATAGTTGAATTCATAAGAGAAGGAGGAAGAGGAAGTTGATTGCATAGCCATGAGAAGAAATGGTAGTGAGAGTACTTTGTAACGTTGTATTATTGTCAGGATGGATGCGTAAACAAAACAACAATAAAAAAATGTCAACACTCATTTAAGAGTTATTTATGAATGTCCATTTATCACTAGTTGTGAAACTTCCTTCCCATTTTCCTATATCCGGTTGGACCAATTCACACAATTATTGTAAATAATAGTATATGAAATAAATACTATTATTCCCTTTCTGCACCTACTGTTATATTTTTCATTGTTTATTTGGAAAAAGAAAGGTTGACGCGAAGGCAGCATCAGAATGAAGATGTGGTTTCATGTGGTTTTCCTTTCAATTTTTCTATATCAATGTGGTTTCTTGGAAATATTATGACAGAGATTTGCTATTCATTATTTAACAAACACTACTGAAAAACAAGTAATATATTGATAGCCAAAAACAAATAACGACTATATAACTTTTTTTTTCATGAGGGTTTTTGTTAGTAATACTTTTTCAACTTCATTCCTCTTCTGCTGTCTGTAAACTTTCATTCTTCCACTCCTTTTTTATTTGTTGTTTTGTTAAGTACCATGTGTGTGAGCCCGCGTGGGTGTGTGTGTGCGCGCGTGTCAGAAATATCCTCAGCAAAGCATCCTTAAGGAAATAGGGGAACTAAAGGATTATTGTCTCAAGCACATAATCACATGATCAAATTAAAAAATAGATAAGAAAGATTGATAGCCAAAATAATTACCATTATATTACCTCCTAAGTAAACACGGTGACTCCAACCTCACGAAAGGAATCCATGTGATGGACAATCCAAGATAGAGAATCCAAGACTTGTTAACATAAATTGATGTCAACTGTCAAGTGAAATCAAGCTGCAAAATTAGCCAATTTCATTCCTCACTATGAATGGCTTCCGACTCCTAAATCTAAGCATTAAGTAAAAAAACAGAGAGAAACATTAATATGAAGAATCATTCATTCACGGCCCATTAATACATGGAATTACAGTTTTAATTGTTTCCACAAGAGATTCAGTTCACCCCACTATTTTCACAATAAGTTGAAAATAGAAAAAAAAAATGTAAAATACAAAAGTCAATATGAATTGCTTCTACTGCCAAAGACAAAGAATCTATAATTAAATGAATTTCTGAAGATGTAACAGACAGGATATACTAATATATACCTCATCCAACTTTCTGAAAGGAAGTTCACATCATTGAACAGAGATTGTAATGAACCATCTTTAATTATCAAATTATGTATCAAATCTTATTCTCTTAAAAGCAATATAAATCATACATACACAAAAAGGAAACCCCGGTAAATTCCTTGAGAGAAAAGGTATATTTGTGGCCGCCATCGATGAACAAAATTAGTAGAAAAGAAGAGAACTATGGAAGGGATCTTGTTACGAAACCAGAAAAAAATTCTCATTGATATTATGCTTTGGTGCTCGAACCACTCCGGAATCCTCTCACTTCCTACTGGAAAACAAAAGTGGGTCCTTCTATTCTCATGTAGTTCCTGTTATGAATTAGCATATCATGAATAACTAGAAATAATGAATTGTTAAATCAAATATTTATGCAAGGAAAAACGACAATACCTGATTCACTAGCATGCTACTACTCGAGGAATTCAGTGATTTGAAGTCTGATGCAGACAAAAAAAAAACAAGACTTAGCCCAACCCCTCTTATTTCCTTAAGAGACTCACAATTAAACAATTAAAGTTCATGTGCACAACGACGTTCTTTGAGGCATTCTGAAAGAATTTTGAAATAGACTCCAACTCAGTTTGATGCTTCCACATTAGAAAACCAAGTGAGAACTTTTGGAAGACATTCATCTAAGACTGAGAGGTTGCTTTCATAAAGATAAATCCATTTCACATTTGAAGACATTGTGGAACTCGATATTGGCATCATGAAATGATATGCATGAACCCAAATACTTGTCAATTTTGGCATCTTGCAAATGAAACTTGGTAACCTAAACATTCCAAGTCCCTTTATAGATATCGAACTAAATCCGGTGAGATTTTGAAATGAAACAGGAAAGTGTTCTCTGGAAGTTTCCCAAATATCAATATCTTCTATATTTTCAATCTTGCCTAATATTTCTTGAAAACATTGTAGACTCTTACGATGTGAAAGTTTCAGGTTTTTAGGAGAAGCCAACATCAATGGTAGAAAACTTTTGAGCTTAATGCAACCACTGACATTCAAGAATTCCAGTTTATTCAGCAATCCTATGGAATTGTGAATTGTAATTAAATTCTCACAATTTTTGTGAGCCTTTTCATCTTCCTGAAAGCCATTCCGTTCCAATCTATTGTTGCTTCAGTTGATCTGCAATCCAGAGATATAATTGGAAGAAAAAAGAGTTCGAGAATGCAGAATATGGAAGAGTAAATTCATATAAAAGTTATGAGAAGAAGTTATGAAACTTCCTTACCAGTTCTTGTAACCGCGTGGGCCAATCAGAGAGTTAAACTTAAATATGATTGAAAGTACATAGCAACTTCCCTTAACCCTAACCGTCGGCTTTTGCCACCATTTTCAGCCATCTCCGGCGCCAACAACAGATCCTTCCATCATCTTCTAGGAGTTCCAATGTGAAAATGCAACGTGAGCTCTAGGTGTTCGCCAAAATGCTCCAGTGACACTTGTGTTGTTTGCTTTGAAATTTGAAAAAAAAAACGTGGGAAGGTGCAGAGCGTCTAGAATAACTAACAAATGGTGAGCCTCTTTGCATTTTAATGCTTAACATCCAAAGTAATAATACTCTCCAATCTTCATCATAAACCATTTTCATACCACTCTTTTTTAATTTAACTATTGTGGTTATTAGGTTGAGGTGTTAGGAAAAAATAGAACTTAAACTTTCACCGCTCGAATGTAGGGGTGAAGTTTGGAATGATAAATCTAATATCTATCTATAATAAATATTTCAATTAAAACACTTATACATATCTCATTATATTACATGTGACATGTTGTTACTAACTTAATCATATTATACTCTAAAATTTACGCTTTTTTTTACCTGACGTACGACTTTATTCATCTGCATACATTTAAGAAGCATACATATCACTCATCATGCATGTGTAGGTTTCCTTCATCTCATTTGTATATATTGTATATTTCATAATTCCATCTTCATTTGCAGCAATTAAATCAAAGGCTCTTTAATAATGATGTTTTGCTTAAATTAAAAAGGACTTTAAATTTGAAAAATAAAAAGTGATCTGGAGTGATCAGAATGGATCGTCTTGACCTTCAATGTAGGGCAGCAACAGTGGTTGTAGGAGAGGAGGGGGTTGTACCTGCAAGGTACTGCAATGCCAAAGTAAGTGTTTGGGCTAAAGAGAGAAAGCAAGTACGAGTGTTTAGGTATGAACAAGAATGATTAGAATATCTGGCCCTCTCAAGAGAGAGGGTATTTATAAGTTTTCCCCCTAGCGCGGGGCCAAGGTCTCCCATGTAACCGAAATATTTGGTAGGCCAATAGAGGACTTCCAGGTGGAAGATCTAGCGCGTGATCTTTGACCTGGTCCAACTGTCTCCATGACTTTCAGAGGGACAGTTGGTCGCGTGAACTGTCAAGCACGTGACGGACACGTCCCCAACGACTATGTGCCCCAACGACTGTATTGTGTCCAACGGCTATATTGTGTCCAACTGCTATTTTGTGCCCAACGACTATATTGTGCCCTATGGTCGTATTGGGTTTGGCCTTAAGCTAGACTAGATTGGGTCTTGCCCAGTTGTGGGGCAGATGTCAGTCCAGTCCAGAACAGGAGCCCCCCAAGTCGTTGCTTCGAGGCGAGAAGTAATGACTTGAGTTAGCATAGCTTGTGCGACCAAGGGGCAGGAACCGCATTACGGGGAGGTCTTTGAGATTCCTATTTATTGAGTGAAAAACTTCGGGGACGCGCAGGTGCATACCATTGATATGGTCGATTGTGGATCGCGCTGGACCTCCTCGGAGATGAGAAGTGTGTTTTGTGTCGATCAGACTTGTTCTTAGGATGAAGAAAATGTCGACAAGGCTTTTGCTCGGATATTGATCTGGTGGCGTCGTCGAGGAGAATGTGTCTGCGGGGAGCTAAAGAGACTTATCTTTTCACAAACACGTGAGGATCAGTTTGAGGATGCCAAGTGGCAGCCACTCTGTGCCACGTGTGACGGCGCAATAAAATTTTTTTAAGGCCTAAGAGGCTAGGCAATGATGGCGTTTTGCCCTTTGCGTTTCCCCATTCGAGCAAGGGAGCCTATATAAAGGGGGGCAAAATTTTATTTTACACTTTACGAAGATTTCTCTCCTTATCTTTCGCTCTGCAACACGTTCTTCATCGGAGATCTCGTCGTCGTCACTGCTGCTCCTGCCATCCCAAGATCTTCATCCTCAACCTTTGAATATTCAAGTAAGTTCTTCAACTTGTATGAATTTCTACAAATTGCTCTTGAATTCGTCGGTGGTTCATGAATTTTTCAGTTCAAGTTCATGTGTTTCTTGAAGAACACATGAACTTTTCTGGAAAATTCATGAAGGCTTTGTAGAACTTAAGATTAAGATGTTGTATGCCTATAGATCTTCCTAGGTAGCTGTGTGGGATTGTTTTATGTTTGTCGTCGGGCAGGGGTGTCCTCGTAGCTGAGGGCTTTGCTTTTAGATGCCCGACACGTTAGGGTAGTCGTGGGGCTTCTCCACTTTAGGGTCTTTATAAGTAACGGAGATGTATCCTCAGCGTCGGGGACGCGTCTCGCTGAGACCCCTTGTCGTTGATAAGGGCCTGAGTCAGGGAGACATCCTTGCACTTAATCATTGTCATTTCATTTGATTTATGGTGGAAGGGTGGATTTGATCTTTGTCGAATTCATTGTTGCTTCCTCTGCTTTTCAGGTGAAATGGCTGGTCGTGATGAGGGAACTGTCCTCGAAGTTGGGGCAAACATTAACGAAGATGTGCCTCCCGCTGAGTATGCCAATGTGTGAGTGGCTGAAGGGGATCTTAGTTGGATCGCCCAGGAGCCCCTTTTAACGAAGTCCACATTTACCGAGGAGGAGGTCAGTAACTTTGATCTCCTCGAAGATAGGGCTGAAGAAGTGCATAAGTGTTAGAGGGCGATTAGCCCGGCGGAGAGCAGGGTATGGTTTGCCCTTTACAGATTTCCAGGAGCGATATTTTGCCACCTCAAACTGTGTCTTGCCCAGCTTCACCCGAATGCTCTTGCATTCATTCGAGCATTCGAATTGGTGTGTCGTTACCTTCGGATAGGGGCTACCGTAGAACTGTTCTTTTACATCTTCCAGTTGCAGAGGAGCACTTCAGAATCAAAGTAAAGTTTTGTGTCTTTCAAGCAGCAGAGCAGGTTGTTCTGGCCTTACTCGGAGTCTGTCAGAAACTTAAAATTTAGATTTCTGGTCGTAAAGCCCCTTTCCAAAGCGGCCAAGAGCTCTCTGATCACGATGGAGACGCTAAAGGAAGATGGTCGGGAAGTAGTGTGTCCCGTGTCAAAGTTTCCCTTAGAATGGGTGTACGCCCATTTTTGGTATAGAACAGACTAGTTCCTTGTGAAGCACGACCAGCTTTGCTTCGAGGATAAGAAGTCTCTTCGAGCGCTGACAGTGTTCATCGAGAGCTTTACCCCTGCTATTGTGGTAGATAAGGATGGAACCTACCCTGCTCTGAAGATGGGGAGCCTGCTCGGGCGGCTCGTTATATAAATAGTAAAGCCCTTCTTGATTGTCGGACTGAGGCCGAGGCCTTCGAGCTTCTATGTATAGATGACGTGTTCGACTTGTTTCTTGGTGTTTTAATTTCGTGTTGGCCTCTTGTTTCTTCTTTGCAGGAAAGATGTCAATTTTACGTGAGCACTTGGTCAAGTCAGCCGCAACTAAAAATGTCAAAAAGGTTTCGACCTCGAAGGCGGATGCAGTCAGGCATCAGGTGACCCTGGAGAAGTTCGTCGGTATTTCGCCATCGTTGGGCAACACCTCTAACCCTCCTACCCTGGATCCTCAGAAGAAGAGGAAGTGAGACGACCTTGACTCGTCTTCGGCCGAAGGCTCCGGTTTTGCTGGGGGGAATTCACCTTGTCCCCCTGCTTTTTGCAAGACAAGATTTTTGACGGGGAGGGGTCTGTGTAGGTCCCCGATTTAGAGGCACCGACCATCTTGGCCGCTGATCCGAAGGTGAGGAGGTCACTTCTTTATCGCGACCCTATTGCGATGATGAGAGTTTTGGATATGGCTCTGGCCCTTGGAGACACGCAGACCGTTCCGCTCAAGGAGTTGAAAAAAGCACAGGCCAGGGAGGCTGAACTTGAGTTGGAGACAACAGGTTTATTCAACCAGTTGCAGACCCTTAAAGGAAACTACAAGGCCAAGGTCGCGCTCCTCAAGGACATGAATGAGATGTCTGAAGAAATGAAGAAGATCAAGAAGGAGATTGCTAATTTGAAGACCAGGGTCACTGAGCTGGAGGGCTCCTCGACTGTGGGGCCAGAAGAAACTGAAGAGGAGAAGTCTTTGAAGACTCGACGGGACATGGTCAAGAGAATATATGTTCTCGAGCAAGATGCCCTTAGAGCTGTTGAATTTGGGTCTTCTAT